CGGAATACTGCTTCCATGGAATTGTCTGAAACCGACCGTTTCCGAGCCGGATTGTTCGACCTGGGAGTTTGATCATTTCATCTGCTCGACGCTCGGTATTAAACATTGTGAAGCACCAAGTACGAAACATACTTTTAAATACTAATGAGGTAAGAAATGTTGGACGCTTGCTGGGAATTCCTAATCAACACCGAGTACGTGACGATCTTCAGGAATTCTCTAGAATCTTAAGACAAACAGCAACTACGTACCAACTTACTACAGTTGTTTTTATCGAATACTCAATAGAAAACAATTATCGCAATGAATATTCACATTTTGAAGATAAAATTAAAGATTATGCAGATACACATCAATCAAGAAATTTTGGACAATTTGTTACAACGACTTTACAACGTCCATTGAACCAAATGTTTTATGACAATGAGCCTACGCAATTAAATAATATTTTTCGAAAGTACTGTAAACATCTATTTCTTTGGTGGAACAAAAAGTAAGGATTTATTGGATTGTAGTAGACTAATAACTGTTCTCTTGTTCATTCTAGACTTTATCCTGAGAACAGAGTTCAAGTGCAACCCCAACCTCAATTACAAGTTGGTCAGGTATGTTTTTGAACACTAGAGCAGTGATTAAGAATGATAGTCTTTATCGATTTTACATGCTGTCCTTTTTTTTCTTGTTTATCAGTAAATATAGTTAATCGATGTCGGACAAAAAGATGTTTTACGGATCGACGAACACAACGTGGTCATTTTCTTAGTAATCTATAGAATCTTTCGAAAGTTTCTGAAGATCCACAAACCTTCAGCTGGAAATATTATGAACAGGCATTGGCAGTTTATGTAGTATATCTTTCTTTCCATGAAAGATTTAAAATAGTAGATCTGCAAATGTGTTTTGGTCACTTGTCAGTAATACAAGAGTTTCGTTCTTCACTTTAAAAACCGTATGTGTTCAAATAAAGTGACAGGTAGACTTCATTTAATTGATGAACTTATGACAGCTGCAGTTGATGATGTACAAATCTATTTACATGAAAATTCGATATATACCTTCAAAGATTATAATGATAAAGAACCAGAACAATTTCTCCTGAATAACATCAATATAATAACGACAATATTGAAGAATATGTATTATATATCGATAAACTAATCAATTTTATTAAGCATCGACAAGAACATTATGAAACAGCATTATCATTTGACATTATTATCGATTTTCGAAAATATATTCTGAATGATTCAATACCGAGCAGGTCTCTGACTGACTTTCTACAAAAACTAAGTCGACAAAATGTGCTTTCGATTGAAAGAAAATACCACCAAACCAAGACATCACAATGCAAGTGCATGTTGTACTTATAGATAAGGCTGAATATCCTGAGGAATATAAGTTTTGTAAAAAATGGTTTTACGAATTATCCTCGACCAATAATCCGCTACTCTGTTTCAATGAAGAAGATAGGGTATGGAAACTCGCACATAAAATCAAACTACCATAGGATGAGTCTTATGAACTCTGGCTGAATGTTTTTGTGCCAGGTAAATTTGTTAAAGAAATTTTGTTCTCTATCTTACGTATTAATATAGGTGAACGGTACAATTTTGATATCACTAAGTTGAAGGTTTCCGTCGCAGCACCACCAGACGGTGGGCAGCCAAATGAAAGCCTAAAAACTGCCCTGCAGGATATATTATCAGCTTATCAAACTATTTCTACAAACTCAGTTACAATCAATAAATATGAATCGGCTTAACCGATATGCAAGACAAGAATGGAAAAATCGTGTTTATTTTTCTTATATTAAATAAATTTCTTAATAGTGTAGTATCTTTATTTAATTCTTTTTTGTAAACAACCATCGTTGCTCATCATCGATCTATAGAGATGATACGTTCATATTGATATCAAACATGATATTCTATCTGATTAATGATAAGAAATCTTTCATATAAAAGTAAGCATGTCATTTAGTAGTAGGTTTTTGAAAATCTTCAAACTAAGTTGTGTAATCGACATAGTTACATCAAATCTCTTAATTAAGTAAAGCATAGGTAGATAGGATTTATATAAATTATTGTATTATTATATATTTGACTAGAGCAAAACTATATGGAACACATAATATTATAGTAGATAGATTTTATACAATAAATTATTTATTAAGTCATTGACGATTCTTTTTTTTAACCTTTGATTTATTAAGGTTTTCTCTGCTTTTAACTTTGAAATATAATCTTGACTATACATCGTGTTCGATTGTGATATCAAGTTATTTCATCAACATGATAATTGTTACAAGATAATTTTATTGATATTTATTTTTTTAAATAGAAATACGAATTAAACAAAACTGACAACATTCATAAAACATATTTGTTAATGTATTATATTATGTTCTGGTCTAATAATATTAATCGGTTTTTTAAATTTAATCATTTGCTTGATTTTCTTTTGAATTTTAGGAAACGAAGCAAGACAAACAAATGGCATTAAAAGTGAAACAAAATGATACAAAAAGTAAGTATAAAATGGTAGTTGTCCAAGTGAATCATCTGATAAACCACATACTTGAGCTAAAACAATACAAGTCATAGGAAAATTAAAAATTAAAAATAAAGCTGATATAGATAAAAGTTGTATAATCATTCTTCGATATTTTCGCCATTGAACTTGTCTATGAAGAGTTTGTTTTTGTTTAATAATACGAATAATTAATGTAATACTAAAAAAACTTATAATCGGTGTCGGTATGATTGAATTGACTATTGTATCATATAAAGCAAGATTATTGTTATTATAATAACATGGATGCAAACACCAGTCTTCTGTATAAGCGTACATATTCTCACATGAAAACATTGAAAGTATGATAAAATAATAAATAAAACCATAGAGAATGATTGTTAACAATGGAATATAATGAATAAAATAACGTCTATTCTTCGTTCTTAACCATCGATCATGAAATACTAAAATATGTCGTTCAATTGATGCCCATGCCATAAGAAGATTTGTTATATTAGAAATACCTGTTGCTGAAAACCACCATAAAAGACAACTAAGAGATATTTTAGGCCAAACATAACCTATTCGAAGAAAATTAAGATAAAATGGAATATCAATTAATTGACTAAAAAGTCCAATAACAAGAAGAGCTATAATAACATGATTATTTAATGATTTTCGTAAACTATTATCATTGATAAGATGATAAAGAAGTTTGAGTGAGCAAATCAAAGATGGAACATTAAAAATAATAAGTAACCAGAAACTAATAGATATTGGTAAAGAAAATTCTGGAGAATCAATATCCCATGTTTCATTAGAAATGTAATCTTTCATAATAATTTTAACTAAATAATTAGAAAATAGATTATAATACTTTACTTTTCTTTATTTTTGTTATAAGCTCTGTTCTAACATATATATTGTCTCAATGATGTGAAATATTATATCTTATTGATGAATAAAAGTGAAGTTTATATTATTAATGACATTCATCATTTGCAGAAAAGGATTTTAAAAGATTAAATAGTAAAAGTATGCCTGATTTTATTTTTTAAAAAGCTAATTATTCTTTTGTAAGAATCATTATGGTACGTCAATATATAAATAGTTATAAATAAAATATTTAGGCCATGTTAAAAGAATTATATTTACGCAGATTATCTAAACTTAAAAAAATATCTAGAAAAAAATTCCGTATAAAGTTTTTAAGGAATTTTTAATACGATATTAGAATAAATAATTGCTTAAATTTCATCATTCATTTTGATCATCTATTAGTATTGGTTTATATTCTTGCCAGTTTTTCTAAGTTCGTTAAAACATAATGCTTAAGTCTTATCGGACAACAGTTGATAAATATATATATGGTCCTGCTATTCATTTAATATCAAATTCGATTACAGATATATTTACATAGATATAAAAGACTAAAATGTTTTTATATTCAATTGGAATAGTCTTCGAATTTTAAAATATTCTATATTTTTACGTTTCACTATCATTCATAATCGATTCAATTATTTTGTTTTATAAATAAGTACATAATAACCAATTGTTATAAAGAGAAAACAAACAAAATAGTTTAAAGCATCTGTGACCCAGTATAAAAATAGAAAGTAATTATCGGAATTGTCACTAGAAAAAATTTTATCTTATCAATAATATCTGGACATTTTATTTCTGTATACATAATGAAATTGTCTTATACCGTCTGCTTAATATATATATGTATGACATATTCAATGCCATTTCATTTAGCACATGCCAGTAACAATAAATATAATAGAATTATTTACTTTCTCCTCAAAAAAAACCTGAAACATATAATGATTATTATATCATATTATTAAAATATTCAAAAAAGATAAGTAGATTAATGTTCTTATCATATTCGATAAAATACGAATTTGTTCAAGGTTATAAGTGAATATATTCAAACTTGAAAAAAAGAAATTTTTCAATGTTGATCTCTTGATATGTAAATGAAAGTGAAGTGCAAATTCAATGAATTCATCTAGATATGTTCTTGAATGAATGGCATTGATCAAAAAATAATGTAAAGAAATAATCAAGAATTTTCTTATTCAAAAATATAAAATGTTTTTATATTAGAGATATTAATCATAGAGTGAAATCGAATATTTATTTACAGAACATGATGTCATACAATACATGATATGACATCTGGAGTCAATGATAAATACTTCAACATTAATAATCATGATCTTTCTCTGAGAAAGTTTAAAAAGAAGAAATCTATTTTTATACTATTGTAAATATTATCATAGTCTCCGATGAAAATATGACTAAAGAAAAACATTTATTTCTATTTCAATTGGTAGAAAACATTACTTTTTGTGTACATCGTTAATATTAATGTGTCTCGACACTAATAATGATGATGTTTTGAAAATCGAATTAAATTCAAGTATGTATTGGACACAACATAAAATGACTATTGTTTATATGCATATAATTGGTTTATATAAGACTTATAAAGAACGTCATTCTATACTATTCATACTACAGTCAATTGACATTAATCTAGTTTTACGTATATCTAAGCTTAACACAATGATTAACCATTAATAGATATCCCATTGCTTTTACCTTTGCATGTCATATTAGACATGATAAGAGTAATAGTAATGAGATTTCATGATGAAGTATAAGTATCAATATATCATCTTTATTGTCATGTAATAATCGAGTTTCGACAAGAATATGTTTATCATTATAATTAATAGATTGTTCAATTGCTTTCAATTCGAACAGAAATCTTTAGTTCGTTAGAAATAAATCATTTTATATTCTTATTAGAAGAAATTCCATTTATAAGACTATAATCGATTTATAAATGCTACATGTATACCCTAAATTACTTCTAGACAAGGTCATTTTGATTTTTTTTCCCTAAGTAAATGATGATTCTATAGTATAAAGAGAGAAAAAAAAACATGTGAAACCAAAAAAATCGAACATTATTCTTAATCATATTATCGACGAAAAAAGAAAAAGAAAAACTAAATTAAAATTTTTCTCTTATTCGTTTTAGATTAATACATTTTGACAATTGTATTTGAAAGAAAAATTATCAGACACCACTATATATGTATATATTTTTTTCGTTGCATTTCAACATTGTTATAATAATTATATAGTATTCTATCAAGTTTATAATTAAAATTTTTATAGAAAGATTATTCAATTACACAATCGTCCCCGACCTTTGTCGTTCAATCACAGTAGTAGGGAGTAGTTAAGCAACCATCGTATTGTTCTATTACGTCATTACTTTGATAACGGCAACTGTTATAGTCACAATAGAGAATTGTTTAATACAATTTTTTTTTATATAGTTCCAGCTATCAATTGTTACCAAGGTTATTGATGTTTGTTCCTATTGTTCGATGCCATTGGGCACATCAAAAACGTCTCGTCTGACTAACTTTCGATGAGCTTTTCTTCTTTTTCCTTCTAGCAATGATTATTCAACTCCTCACGTAAAGAAGTTTTATATAGAACGACCACCCATTGTGCTATTTTACCTTCTCTTTACATATGTAGAACATCGACAAAAAAAAAAAA